AGAAGTCACACATAGCACTTGGGAAACAAGCCCCCCCCCCCCAACATGCAAGTTATTTTCATGTTTACTAGAGGAGGGGACTAAGGATGATGGGGACAATTGTTTTATCGATGTAAACAAAAACTGGAGACACTGCAGTCAGTACAGAGATCACTCCTCCTCCAAGAGCATCTCCATTTAAGAAATTGTGCAACAATGAAAAACAACACCCTCATTTACCTGCCAAGCCTTGAACTGTGTAGCACTACTCATATTTAGTTGGTGACCATAGTGATGCTCTGCTGGATAGTAAGACACACCCCAGACCCAAATGTTATTAACTAGTACACAAAATGACTTGACATTCGTCCTCCTGGCACACACAGAGCTTCTTTTCGGTTACAGGAGACAAACGGTTTTCATTTCTAGATCATAATCTCTGGGGAAGAAGCAACAAATGTCTGTGGAAAACTGCTACAACAATGTTCACACAACAAAACAAAAGCTTTTGGTCCTCGACAAATCTTCGGAGTTGCTGCTAAAATCCTTTTGTGCAATTTGGATTTATAACAACTGCATAAGGAGAGACAGAAAAAAAATCAGAAGAGACTAATTGCCCACTGGCACATTCCTGAAGGTGACCTGAAAGAGCTGCTCCATTTTACCACCATGTCCTCCTCCGCCGGCTCCTACCGGCCTAACACACAGCAGTTAGCAAAGAAATGCTTGCTTCCAAGTGCTGCTCGCACTGTTGGTCTGTGCTGTGCTCCTATAGCCACTAAAAGCCTGTTTTCTTAGCAGAAGGATGGTGCCACTGTGATGCCAACTAGAGGGCCTTCCTAATCCTCCTTTGTCAAGCTGAGTTTGGAAAGGATGTCAGTTAATTGTTTTAGAGGGGCTGACCCTTCTCCACACTACCACCCCCACCCTCCAAACCCCACTCAGGGCAGCAGTGGCGCCAGCTCGGTGCACAATGATAAGTTGGTCTTTCCACAGCTATGGAACAAGAACTCACATGGTATCCCTATGGAGCAGCATACTGGGGAGATAGAAAGTACAACAAAACATTATACAAGCACACACACATGCATGCTTGCACCCATTTGTCGTAATACACATAAACAAATGGACACAAATACACTCACCGCACACATTAGTGTGAAACTGAAACCAAAGGACTAATAGCATGCACTGCTCAGGGGAGGTGTGTGTTACAGTGTGGGAGTAAACCAGTTTATGAAGACCCTATTAGGGATTCTGTGGTTCTCATCTAAACACCTCTTTAAATCCAGATTTCCAAGCTGACACTAAGGTTATGGATGTGCAGGATTAAATGTGCACTGCCTAAGTTTTTCTATTGTAAATCACATGGCAGTCCTGTATAATGAGGTACTAGAGACCAAATAATGGCAGTAATGTCAATTGTGGCCAATTTAGGCTATTTTCTGGTTAAATCTCCAGCTGGAAATAATACGTCCAGGTAGTGAAACAGAGTGTGTAGCAGTAGCCATGAACTGGGCTGTATAGAGGCATTACAGAATAGATGCAAATTTCAAGTAAAGGACGACCTCTGATGTCTGTTAACACTTCACTGTGCTCTCCCTAGGTTTAAACCCAGCAGTCAACAGTTCGAGATGCTGAGGGCCCAAGAGGATCCAGGGTCAAGTGTGTGAGAGGCAGTGGTTAGTGATGGAAGCTTAGTGTTAATATGTGGAGGTAGTTAAGAGGAGAGATAGAGAAAGGGAGGGAAGGTACTTAGTGAAAGCAGATGAGGTGAGCTGCAGGAGGAAGCTGTGCATCAGTAGACAGGGCCTGTTTGAAAGACTGAAAGCAAAACCTCCATCTGAGCAGATACTTAACTTTTACACATGTACAGTATCATATTGTGTCAGCCAAGAATGGCAGCTATAGATCTTCCGCTCTCCACCCACCCTTCTAAAGTCTGCCTTCCACTCCAGCTATACAAAAATGACTTTAACCCATCAAAGCTGGCATTAACGTCTCATTTCCTTATGCAAATGCAAAACGAGAAAGGCAAAAATAAAAGCTTTTCATTTCTCCCTGCCACTTTCATTTTCTGTGAAAATCATTGCTGCCCCCTTGAGATAAAGCCTGATGTGCAGTTTTGGGGAGAAAACAGGTTAGGGGATCCTGGGGAGTACTCTGCATTAACAAAACAAACCATTCAGCAAAACAAACAATTAGACACTCATGAATTATGGACAAGCTATCTAAAATAGCAATAAAAACGCGGAGTGGAGAGTTGTGGAACGATCACTGAGCTAATGAAACTTATGCCAGGGTTTATTTATACAGTCAAGCAGTGGAGTAGTATGTGGGTATATCTGTGTGGGCCCCTCCTGTACACGTGTACAGTACCAGCATTTACCCTATCCTAATGATTCTACACATTTCTGTGGAACAGTGCAGATGAGTGACAGAAAACAAGGTAACACAGAGAAGCATGAGACAAAAGAGAGACAAGACTGAAGGAAGAAAAGGTGTCTAGTAATCCACAGTGTGAAATTGCGTATCAGCCATTTTGCTGTTTGGTCCCCAGCAACATCCATTATTCACAAACCCTGGGTTTACCTCTCACAGACGCGCACAGTCCATGCAGCAATGATCCAGGAGGATATACTGAACACCAGCAGAACAGTTCCTGGACAGATGGTCATGAGGGTCTTCATGACAAAGCGTGTGTTGAAGTTGATCTTGTTGAGGGCACCGATGCTGCGAGATGAAGCATCTGTGAACAGCTTGCTGTGGAGTAACATGACCCTGCCGATCAGGTAGAGTCTCAGAAACATGGGGATGGAGAGGATGATGTCCACGTCAGCCTCGACCACGGTCAGCAAGTAGGTAAAGGCATTCCGTGCCGTCCAGGTGAACACGTACTGGCCTGGGATGGGATGGATGGCACACACCAGGAGCTCCAGCACAATGAAGAAGATCCGTTCATATGTCATGGCTATCCTCCAATCATCCGCACCATTGTCGACCATAAACAGCTTAAGAAAAAAAAAAACACATCAAGGACCTAATATTAGTGTTAGCAGTTTATTTTATATATAGTTTTTTTTAGTTAATTTAATTTGTTGTTTTTACAGCATTTCGCCAGTTTATATATCCTATACAACCCCACATGCTGTCAATGTGTTTACTCTTACAAACTCACATTGTGAGACGTATTATTTGGACCAAAATTATTTGAAATATTCAATCTGTATTATTTGTAGCCATAAAAAGGCTAACAAATAACACAACCACCAATATTTTTTATTTCTAACTTTCTAACAGTGTGTTGCATCACCATATTACTTGGCAATGTGATACATAAAAATGATTTATAGAAAGGCGGAGTGTATGCTTCGATGGAAGTGTGCCAAATACAGCACTGTCCAGGTGAAGAGGTTTTAATATCAATATATTATGGCCTATTACAAAAAAAAAGGTCACAGTCCTCGTCTCCAGTTTCCAAGTCCAGTCAATTCTCAAGTCAGAGTCCAAGTCCTCCAAGTCTTCACTGTTCAAGTACAAGTCAAGCTATGAGTCCTAAAAATCTCGAGTCGGACTTGATTCTGAGTCCAGGACCCGAGTACTACAATAATGACTGAACGTCAGACCGAGCAGAGCAACAAAATGGTACAAAAGCAGATGCAATAAGATGCTGGGAAGAAAACACCATACAATATCAAGAACCCGGTCTACAGGTTTGTTGCATTTGGACTACATTTGTTGATAAGGGCTACAGTCTTACTTTTAAATGACAAAAAAGTTGGACAAAACCCAAACAAAAATGTACATCATAAATGCATCTGCATAAATTAATTATCTAGCAATTACCTTTTACCACAACTAATAGTATGAATAATATTTCAATAAAAACTGTTTTGCTGGGCCCACATGCCAAATCAGAAATCCTCCTCCTCCTTATTAAGATTATTGCTATCATCATCATCACCACACTGATCTTGATGCTGGTATAATGAATAAAATAATGTTGTTCGTTCTTGTGTCAGACTCACCTGAATTTCCCGGGCATGGTACATTATTATAAGACCAAGCAATATAACAGTGGAAAGGCTGATAAGGCATTTCAGTGCAAATGAGTATGAAGATTCCTGCAGTGAAAGAAAAAGAGAGGATAAAGTATTAGATATTGCAGTGTTAAATTAAAAATAATTAATACATTTTGATTGAAGTATACATCATCTTATACGACTCCTTGTATTTATTGTTAGTGTGAATCAGTCTATATTTAGCCTCAATAGTGACACACACACACACACACACACACACACACACACACCACTTAGCTTAAAACTCCAACGAAGATGGGATAATGGGGTTTTACACTCAAAGAGAGCAGTCAGGATGTTGCTCAACAGCACAGCTGCAGGTGTAGGTGCAGCCTGATATTATCTACGTACGCTGTGCCCCACCATCTCAACTACCAATTAATCAAAGCCCAACACTAAACGGGGGGACTTTCCATTTAATGGTAGGTGCAGAAAAGGCACGGTTGGCATTAGTAGGGGGGGGTGTACCAGAGTGAGCGTATAGCTGGTGATAAATAGGCCAGCTACTGTAGATGCTAGCATTGCAGTGTTATGTGTACCTGTACTACTCAAGTCCTCTCTCTGTGTTGGTAAAATAGCATCTGATAAATCAGTTTAACAGCCAAGGTGTAAAACTTTCTCTCTGCAGCAGGCTCATGATTATAGGGTTGTTATTATAATGACAACACAGATAAATAAATGACAAAAAGTGGAAATGTCTTTTATAATTATCAGTGTGATGACAATGAGAGCTGCTCACCATTACTGTCCTTGGGTGGTCCATATTACAGAATGTATTTTTACCTACTAACTAGATTGCTTTGCCCGTCGGGTCGGCCACATGCTCTCAAGACATTCTTATGCCTGAAATTGTTTTGAGCTATCCCTGGTGAAATAACATTGAGTAAACCAATTAATCCACCTGCCAGAGGTTCAAGGATTTTTTAGTCCCAGTGCTCACTGCCTCTTAACGCATCTTACTCTTTCAGGGCTCAGAAATCCTTGACTGAGCCTCGAGTGTGTGCTCCGTCATGTGACACGAAAAGGGAAAATGAACCATCCGCAGCACATGCTATCTTTCTGTGATGTTGTGAGGGGGGTGCTGTGTTACTCAGAGACGGGAGTTCACTGCCATTTTAGCTGGGGTCAGCTTGATGAATGGACTCCTCTCCAACTCAGTAACAGTCACAGACAAACCTATTGACTTTCTTAAAACCCCATAAATCATCCTATAGATCACCACACTGACTTACTATATCACACACAAGTGTGTTTTCCTTCCTCATGGGGACTTTATATTGACTTACATTCATTTCCTACAGATTTATCCTAACCTTAACCATAAACACTACTTGCCTAACATGTAGCCTCAAACCAAAATTCAGCAATGTACATGGTGGGGACCAACATCTGGTCCTCACATGGAAGGATAAGTTCCCACAGTGTGTGTATAAACAGGTTTCTGTCCACCATTTTGCTTTTAGGGTCTGCAGCTTTCTTTGGTTGAATCTTTCTAGTTTTATTAACCTACTTTATAGCCTAACAGGTAACTATTTCTTGGTACACTACCTACTCAGCACCAAATGGCACAGGCACAAAGGTTGCAGCTAGCACTAGTAGTAAAGGCTAAAAACCATTATAAAGCCTCATCCGGTTCTTTCAAACCAGGAACTCAGAGGGACGACTCAGACCACTTGAGTATATAAAAAATATATCCGTGCTGGTTTATTCAAAAAGCCACAGGCAAGAATCCACACTTCCAGTCCAGAGATCTTCCAAACCCCCAGCCTGCCAAAGCAGCCCGGAAGCAGGAAGGTTTAGCCAAAACATGAGGCAAAGTCAAGGTGCGTGACTGTTGTTTTCGTGGTGTGTATCTAAACAATTGGACATAACCTTACACATTAAGACAAATATTAAGACTAGCATTACAGTTGACACTAACAGCAGTTTTCCTGTAACCTTGACGTGCCTGCAGGCTGAATAGTTAACAGCCCAAGCTAGTCACCCTGTCTGCGCTAAACATTCATAGACAACAGATCTCTAATCCATACCTATCTAACTAAGAAATAACCTAACAGTAGCAACCACAGTTACCAAATAGCCAAAAAAGGTAAAGTGAGCAAGTAGCCAGTAAATAGACACACTTTAACTTTTCACTAATGACTAAGTTGATAAATAACCATGGAAGTCTAATTTGAGCAGTGAACAGATGTTAGCTAGCTTGTGAACAAAGTGGCATAAATACCAAGCTAGCCCAAGAACCAGAAATATTTCTCCAAAATTGGTTACAACCAAAACAGAACTAAAATAAAAGTAAATATTGGACATATATCTGGGTGCCAGAAGCATGGATCCAAATGAATATTTGTGTAACCAGACAAATGTTTGCGAAACTGAAACTGATCAAATGTTCTTACTGTGGTTCTTCAAACCCAAGTAATAAATAATGCTAACACAGTTTGTAGCTAACAGGATTAAACATGCATATAAGATCTATAAAGGCATCAATCCTGTTCAGTTTTTTTTTATTCACACAGACTGTACTGTTAAAAGTGTGGTCTTATTTCCAGAGATGAAAGACACCTATTCTTTGACCTATTATATACTGCAGTCAGCTCTCAACTAAACACCAGAGCAAATGCAGTCTTTGGCTGCCCTAAGTGAACGATTTTCATCCTTAAAAATCCTGACACAGCAGATCTAAATAGTTGATGCAGTTCAATCATAGATCAAGGGGAGGCAACCAGGTCACTGTGACCCTGAATCCACACTGCCCTGCTAGTGTCTTTCCTCAAAAGTCCCATTTATTCCTATATGTTTCTCCACTCTAGATGGGAATGACAGACAGCCACAATAACATCAGCAGTGAAAAGCAGTCTAGCCCATTGGCTAATCTCCAATCTGATGTCAATAATGAAAATTTCCAACTAATAAAATCAGGCCTATAGTCATAAAATTACTGAATAGAAAAAGGAAAAAGGCCAAATGTGAGATTGATAGCCTGTTAGTCATGGTGCAGATCACATGACACTCCTTTTCATTTGTATTTGTGCAATACTCCCAACACCTTTCTTAGATAATGTAATGTACATCAGTGGTTGTGCTAATAATCACTCTTCATAAATTTGACAGCTGCCAACCCCACACAACTCAAAATTTAACAATGGTTATGACAACACACAAAATGCTCCCACTCATGCATCACACAAATGCACAACCTACCTTAGTGTAAACCCCCCACGACAGTTCCGTCTCTGCCACCATGACAACAATCCCAAACATCCCAAAGATGAGTGCGTAGTCGCTGAGCCGCTTCCGCTTCTCAAACAACGCCCTCCTGTGACCGAGCTTGTAGCCAATGTCCCTGTTTTTTTTATGTGGTGCCCTGCCTCTGCCACGCCCATTGCCCTCCCTGACCAAGCTCTCATTGGACGCCTTGCTGGGGTCTTCGCCGCTGTTGCCCTTGGACACCACCACCTCCAGGCCAGAGCTGTGCAACGTCTGTAAGGGCTGCGTCTCTGAGTCGAGGTCTGCGAGGTTACGGCGCGACGAGGACGCCAGGCTGCCCACTAGTGGTCTGACCACTCCGCCATTGTACTTGCAGGTGTTCATGGCTATCTGAGGGAGTCGGCCGCTGCTCTCGGAGAGGGAGGGCTTGGATCCAGCATGGCTCAGCTTCTTCTCAGTAGTGGCCTGTGAACAGGAAGGAGAGTGATAAATACAAAACCAGCAGAAACATTGTAAAAACTGTCAACAATAGGTTGAAGACACGCACACACAGGTTTGGACTTTAAATAGAGCATTGATGTGGGAGTTTTATCTCTGTGGTCTCTGGAGAGAGCAAAGAGGGGGAAGAATCTTGCAAAACAATTTGTTATAAAAGCAGACCGATTTAGTGCTCAGCAGGACAAGTGGACAAGTGACCAAACATACAGTATGAACCGAAAGCTGCTGTTTGAAAGAACCAAAAACTCAAGGTCTGTTTTCCTGAGCAACATGTACTGAGAGGTGGCTGCTCACTGGGAATCATTTCATCCCGTTTCATTAAATACTGAAAAACAATTTCAGTTAAACCCCTCCTTTACTTGAACGGATGTTTCATGCAGCATTTCCTTTAGGAAAATATAGCCTCAAAATCCAGTGGCTCAAAACCAAATGAATAATGAATGGAGTTTGATGTATAAATAAGACTGGCAGTGGACCCTACAAAGTGCAGAAAGTGGAATCATTGCACTGCACAAATTTACAGTAGATATGAATAATTAATGCTTGTCGTGACAGAGGAACACTGCTCACCTGCAGAGATGAGCAGTGAGCTTCCCAAACGAGAGACAAGTAGAAGAAATCAATTCTCAAATCAGGTGTGCCAGCGACCAAATGTAACATTCCCAAGCAGGGGAACCTGTTTCTTTGGACCTCAGCATAATGTACATCTCATGAAGTTAAAGGCCTTTTGGGGTTTGAAGGACAAAGAGTAATGCTTACATAGTATATTGGCATAAATATGGTATTCAACCAATAAATGTTATATTGTGTATTTAATTTCTAATTTGGACAAGATAGGAGAGAATATATGTAACTGTTTTTATGTCTTTTAAATCATCTATAGGTTTTTGTTTTCTGACCCAATGCAGCAAAGGCTCTTCTCTTCTTGCATTTAGTCGTCTATCATTTCTGGTCCTCTTGGCAGACAGATGTGAGTTTCTGGCCAGGTTATGCATACAGATTATGCTCTATCTATGCAGAGGCTGTAGAGGAGTCACCCCAAAATCATCTCTCTCTCCTGTCCCTCAGAGACTTGGGCAGATTATCATAATGAGTTATGAAAGTGTCACATGGAACAGTGCCTTTTCCAAAACAGGTCAGGGGGTGAGAGACAGCACCACTGCCCCTTTTTATTAGCCTTGACAAAGCATGCCCAATGCTTTTAAATGTACTGGTGGGAATAAAGAAGGTCGGCCCTAATGGAAATTTACTAACTCTGGTCCTGTGATGGTATCGCTTCGCGCATATCGTGGCTCCATGAGAACAGGACTAAAGGTTAAGGATTACTGCAGTCCATAGTGTTTCTAATCCCCTTTTCTGTATTAAATTGCTTTTTAATCTGTGTCATTAGGAGCCCTCTACACTTCTGAACACTGCACAGTGAGTGAACTTTAGGTTTGAATGGCAGGAAATACTGTAGAAATAGATGCTGATATGCCTTTGGTAGTCAAGACATTGCTCTTTACAAGAAGATAAAAACACAACAGGGAGTGCTATATTTAGCAAGTTTGATTCCTGATAAACAAATTAGAAAAAAACACATTCTTTCATGATGTGAGTGCAGTAAAGTGTCTTCTTGTGGCAGATTCTCTCTATTTTGCAAAAGGTGAATTCTTGCAATTTATAGCTTACTGACAACATGAATCAGAATCAGAATCACAACATATTTTATTTCACTGCCATGCAAACTAACAAACGTTTTGATCCAGATTATTTTTCTCAGCATCAGGAATAATTTGCAAATATGACAATTCAATATTAAACATAACTGATAATGAGAAACTAGCACAGACTATGATAGGAGTCTGACAGCAGTGGCCACTGGCTAAGCAACATAAGACTGTGTAGAATTCCTGTTGGACTGAATTTACTTTTTAATTTATTTTGATAAATATTTGTAAAAAAAAAAAAAAAAAAAAAAACCTTGCTTTTTTTTTTGCATTAAGCTCTACAGCAGATCTATCAGTCTTCTGAATATGTTGGATCTTCAACATAACTCGCACTGGGCAACTACAAAATAACATTATTCCTTTGGTTTTTAGTGTGTGAAAACCAGTTTCCCAAAAGAATGTGTCCCACTTTTCTTTAGGAAGAAAAAAAAAAACAACAACTAAGTCCTGTTGAATCTGGAGTAGTTTTAGTCTGATTCAAACTTCCAGGCTGTTTCTGAGATGCTTGATATATAGATATGGGTCCTGGGCTCTAATACTGTATCTGAGAGAAAAATCAATGACAACTACCTCAAACAAGAGGTTTCATACATTTATGAGTAGATTTTTTACCATAGCCTACGCCTTACTATTATCCTACCAAAGCATTGTAACATTGTATTAGAAACTTTTGCCTGGGGACTTTTATTACATAACATTCACCTCACAGCAGCTTTTGTCACACACAGGAGCAATCTGGGGTGCAAAATCTTGACCAAGAGTCAAACCACCAACTCTATGATTAATAGCCAACTGAGCTAAAGTTAAAGCCATCAGTTGAGATCGGTCTCTCACTACTGAGTGAAACCAACTGTGTAGTTGTGTCCCAACTGTTGAGTCTCAAGCTGAGGCATTTCTGTTCGTTACAGTAAATCAACTGTTCCAGTGCCAACTCCGGACATCACAGGGCCATTAGATAGTTTTTGCATGAAATTATACCATTTTATATTTACATTTTACAAAAGACTGTAAACATTTACAGAAATGGATGGTGTTGAGTCATAGATCAGAGTGAACTCTAAACATGTGTGACAGTATAATAGATAGGTGTCTATTACAAAAACAACAACAACAACAAAACAAACAAACAAACAAAAAAACTGAAATCCTTCTTGCTCCAGACTGGACAAACACCCCAGCTCATTTTTTTGGCATTAAACAGTGAAAATGCATGTGTTCGTTTTTACTAAGGGATCACAGTGGGGTTTTGCTCCAGAGAAAAATAAGAAAAGTGGCACCGCAGGAATTTGCACATCTGATCTCAGTGTAAGGTGGGTCCGTTCAGGGATGCAAAAAAGAGGGAGCAGCCTGAGACGTAAGACATAATAGGAGAACATCCCCAGAAGTGTTGCTTCAGTAACATACAGTAAATGAACAGGGCTGAGGATGCACATAGACTGGGCTGCTGTTACAGCCCAAGCTTTAGTTAACTTGTTTCTGGTGCTCATTTGTCACTGAAGCCACCTATCCCGAAAGAGAAATAGGAGAGAAATAAGACTCATTTTACAAAATAACAAGATTGCTTCCTGACTTTTCCTCCTGTAATACTAAAGTCCTTCACAGACTGAGCAGCTGGAGTCCTCGGATCCCATTCCAAAACCTCAAAGCACTCGATCAGTCCTGTACTCGAGCAGCCAGTTCCCATCTCTGTGCATTTCCCCTGCAACCTGACTAAAGCAGTGCAGTGGAAGGGCACAACATGCCAGAGTTGCCCCTGATGGCCCCACAGATGAGACAAGGGGAGGCCTGTATAGCAGACTGGCGGCTCACTTTCATTTTGAATGGCACGCAGCATCCAAGCTTTATTAAATGGATCCTCATAATCAAATTGAAAAGCCTCAGTGCAGAACAGTTTAAATGAAGGCAACTGTCTTGCTCAGCTCTCCGTCTCAAATCAAATAGAAAATTCACTTTTATACCCTAAAAATGGAATTGTGCATTATAGAATCAAATGTGTTCAATTCTGTGTGCGTGTGAGCTTGAGCATGTGGTGCCAGTCTGTTTAATTATGTGTGAGTGGCTGGGTGGGTGGACACGTGTGCTAGCTGAGCAAGCTGAGCTGGGCACTGGATTAGGTCAGATACAGACACAGAGAGTGTGCAGCAACAAAACAAGCACAAGGATCATTTGTTTGAGAAGGTCCGTGTTTACGTGTATGATGTGTGAAAAAGGGCCGGATGCTGACAAGGCTAACATGAAAGGAGGATCACTAAAGAGAAAGAAGAACAGGGGAAAGCAAGAACATAAGGCAGAGCTCTAGAAAATCTCTTGAAAGATAGAGAGGTGAATGAAGATGAGCCAAATGAAAGAGGGACAACATCTCCTTGCTGGTGTCTCTGCTAGCCTCTCAAGTAATTGAGAGCTGCAGGTGACGCTCTCCAGTTTGTCCCCTGCACACTGGACGCTGTCACATTTCTCTGGCAGGCTAGCAGGCAGCAGGGCTTCTCTGTCCAGCCCTGACCAGCATGTGGATCATTACTGAGCACTAACAAAGACAGGGAAACCAGAGGCTGCAGACCTACATTCATAAAGGTAAATCTTCCATCATGGCTGTGTGCTGCAAATAAACAATATGTATTTAATGTAAAATCGTGAATGTTCAAAAATGAATAGCATCAGTGTTTATATCATGTCTTATGAATAACACCAAGTCAAAACTGGGCATAAAAATTTCCTTGCGGTAGTAGAAAGGTTGAGTACCAAATCTGATCACCCAATGTTTCATGTCCTTGCTTTTCTGTAGGGATGTCTGGTGTTTAATAATGTCTGCTTCTGTGGGAGAGGGTGAAGCTAGTGTAAGTAAGACATGATGGTCCAAGAGACTGAAACGTAGTCCATGTTCCATGATTTTCTACAGGGGATTCTCAAACTGACTTCACATGTCTGGGACAGTAAGTAAGTGTTAGGATGGCTCGAACATGGAAGTGAGCGAGTCACAAAAATTGACGGACCCAGGTGGCTGACTTCGATGCAAGCAGTGCAAGTTTATTTACAGTGTAAAACAAGTGACCAAGAAATGAACAGACGAGTAAGAATGGGACCGGGTGTCGAGCTTCGGATGGGAACACAGTCAGTGGTGGAGATGATGAGAAGAGGACCGGGCTGTGGACACTGGGACTCACTCCTGGACTGGTCGAGTTGGATGGTACTGAAGAGGAACAGAAATTGTACATACGGTAAGTAGTAGACTGTGCATCAACCTGCAGGGTGGTGATGAAG